ATAGTGTGAGACTGCTGAACTAATAAGACCTTCTACATGGCCAGGATCAAGAGATATTGTATGTTAGACCCAAATTCCATATAATATAGCGCCCGTCATAAGTAATATGAAAGTGAAGTGCCTCTAGCGGCGTAGTTCCCAATTGAACCAGAATTGAATGGCACAGGATTGTTGGTCTAATCCAGTACAACAACTTTGTCCAAGACAGTATAGCTTTAAACATTGAAACAAATGTGATAATCCACTACAGCCTCCATTAGTGAAAATCCCATAAGCTGTAGGTATCCTTATTTGTGGTTCCTCATTCACGCCACCGTTTTTTTTTCCGTGTTGGGTATTTTGATCGCTGCGACCAGTACTTAGATCTATTGTGATATATTCCCCGTTTTAATATTTCTTTATCAGCATGTCGTAACACCATTTTATGAAGCGACCGACATAGACTGACCGAAAGCATTTTCCCAGTCAGGTATTACATTTCGAATGAATTGCACTACTTCGCTGGGAACTGAATTCCAAATATCAAAGGGTTCTGTCAGCCCCTTATCCAGAAAAATACGCCTCTTATTGAAGATTGCTGTCCAAGAGCATAGCAGGTGTTCAAAGTCTTCGTGTCGAGATTCTTCGCCCGATACATGCCAATTCTTGATTTTATCAGAAATAGAAAGGCTGCACAACTTCTTGCCTAATTGCATTTATAAAAGTTGGATCCACCCCCTTATTACATGTCATGCTTTGAGATAAAGTCTAAAAGGTACTCACCTCTGTTGTTGATGTCTGTACTGGCCCACAACGTATGGTGGGCATTCGCGTCGCATCCAATTATTAATGGTTTGTTATGTTTCTTACAGTACGAAACAAACCTTGCAACCTCTGGTGGAGGTACATTAGACTGATGCAAAATTTGAAAATTTCGCTCCACAGTGCTCAAACAGTTCCAAATTGGGCCCTGATTAGCCTCCCGAAACTTGAACTCATTGAATGAGAAACTTACTTGGCACAAACCATTTGTACTCATGTCAAAATTTGCATCAGTCTAAGGTACATCTTCCACGTCGCTAGGGAAGTACGCTGAGGCAACGTAGACTTCTGTTTTTTCCGTGGGTCGTTGGAACCTTTAACATGATAGCTGCAATGTCTCTTTTGATGAATTCTGTAATCGGAAATTTTTTAGCTTTTTCGTTTACCAGAATGGCAGCTCTAGGAGATAGCTGCCCTTCATCATAAATTAACTTACATGATTTTGTAGGAATTCCTAGTATCCTACTTTTATTAACCCATGGCTCCTGGATCAGAGCTATATCCAGTATGCTTTCTGTGAATCGTTTGCAAAGTACAGCAGTTGCTCCCTTTGCGTGATGCAGATTCGCTTGGATGAATTTGATTTTTTTTTGTGTTTAATATTGATTTGATTTGCCGCGCTTGCTGGGTCTTGTTTTATACCCTACATTGGTTTGCGGTTACCAGTAGATGGATGTTTCTTAGCCTGGGGATTTATGTCTCTATATCCCGGAGCTGATCCTTTAGTTGTCGTATGATCATCATTTTTTTCTTCACTAACTACATTTGTAGTATGACCAGAATTTAGTTTCTGTTCCGTGTTCCCGGCACCACTTGATCCTGGGATTTGGGAAAATGAATGATCTTCGATCATTCTATTATCTCCAGTTTCCTCGTGGGTCTTATCAGATCCATGGTCGCTCCTAAATTCTGGCCTCCCAAAATGATCTTTGTTTTGATAGTTTGACTCAGTTTTTTCCGCTTGATTTTTTCTTTGGAACTTTTTCCTTATTTGGGCATTTCTAAATTTAAAATCCAGCACAAACTCATAATCTTTGATAGCGTTCATGGAAACCCCATCTACAGTGAACACGAGTTCAGCATGCTGCTGGTTAATAATGTTACGCTGGAGTATTCTTCATGCGTCAACTACTAGCCCATCATTTTGGCTCTCCAAGAGTGCTAGAATTTGTTCATTGCTGTCTTCAGCACTGCATGGAAAAAAACCCAATGCAATCTGGTCGAGGGATGTCTTTTTCATCGACCACAGTAAATTTTGCCCCAGTCCATGGGTTTAATTCTGGAATTATGCTTCTTAACCAGTTAGCTGTTTCCTGATTTTTACAAACGATGACTAAGTAGCCGGGCTTAAAGTGCCAATGCCCACATTTTGGTTTAAGTGCTTCTTTTCTTTGTCCTGCAACTTTAGTAATGATTGCTTTTTGAATAGCAATCAGTTGTGGCGTGGTAAGTTCAATACTAGGATATCCTTTCGGAAGGATACCCAACTTCACACCACTCATTACTTTCTTGTAGGAAGGATTGATCTTACCCTCAGTCCTTTTTTGCCCTGAGTGTCCGGATCTATGTGCATCCATTCTTTGCTGTACAGAGGTTTTCGATGTTGAAGGCTTACTTGTGCCATAGCTCTGACGTGGGATTTTGGAAGGACGAGGATTACCACTAGTATTTGAACCGTTGCGGTCTGAATTTCTAGGGCGTTTTGACACATCTGTAGGTTGCTGTGATGTTTGAGCCAAGCAGAATGCTTCTTCTCGGCTGTGCCCACTATCCAAAAGACGTTTGAAGCGTTTTTGACGCGTTCCACTTAGTTTTTTCCCCTTTTTCTCCTTTTCTTCCTTCGATGGGGCTTTCGGTTGTTCCGACAGGTTTCCTGAGAACTGTTCTAATTTTAGTAGTGGTGATGGTCGAGATGATATTAACGTTACATTAATGCCGTCTTCGTAATCATCATCGTCATCGTAGTCGTCATCATCACCGTCACCATTCCTATCCGGAGAGTTTAAGTTGGATGAGGAACAGGAAGGTACACCTTCGACAGATTTGCTTTGCAGCAGTAGATTCTCTTCGCACCTTTCTCTATCGATTTCCATCTTCGATTCGATCATGATTCGTAAGCTTTGGGATTGCTAGAAGACCACGCAAGAAGAGATATGTTGATGCGGACAACAATAATAGTAGTAATAATTTTTATTTATTTTTCCGTTACTTAAATTACTTAAATCAGTCTACTTGTAAATAATAATGTGGATTATCTTTATAAATTTAATTCCAAATTCTTGCTGTTGCCTTTTTACGCCACCGTTACCCCGGCAATTAGGATTCCTGACTGTAGATAATTTTCAACACGGCAACCATAAAATCGGCCTAACGTATTTGTGCCAAACTTTCATTCGGCCACCCTTGTCAAACGGAATAGAACACATTCGTTTTGCACTCAGAATATTTCCACCAGCCTTAATCAGCTTAACAATCCCAGTTATCATCACTCATTATGGGACTTTCACTTAGCTCAATTTAAGTTATTACCATACTTACTCCACCCTTCCCCCATTCGAACGAAACTCACGTAACTCGAAGCCGTGAAGACGAACCTCCCGCTCCGTCATTATGGCATAACAATTCGTCAACACGTGCTTGTTTGCACGTTGGGCACCCTCCCTGTATGTTTCAGGTGGGCCCCACCGTCACCCAGTACGTAGCAGCGAACAGTTGTAATGTAAGGTTGAAAGTTCGAAAACAATACGGACGATGCGTGAGAACTTTGCGGGACGAGCGCCTTTCTCACTTTCTTTTAACAATTTACAAGCGGGTAGTTATGCATTACTTTTGCCTCTTTTTCTTCAATTCTCATATCATACGTACCCGCTGGTTGATGTTTAGGGTTTTTTCTTTCTTTCTCACTATTTCCTCCAGCACAAAACAAGTTAGCATTAATTTCAAATTATAAATTTTATTTTTCTCGTCTTCTCTCACTGGCTGTGGGGGGGGGGGGGGGGGGGCTTCTTCTTTGTTATTGAAGGTAGTGTGTGGTGGAAAAAGTTTGTTTACATTTGACTGTGTTTTTTACTAGTGCACAGTTTGATTGTTTTGTTTTGATTTTCCTATACATTCTCAGCGCGTAACAATAGAGTGCGATTCACTCATTCACGGTTCTCGTTCGAATCGAAGTTTACGCAACCTTTCTCCGGCTATCTCGGTATTATTCATTTGATTCTATAAGGGTAGTTCAATTAAATTAATTTAATACTACGGGGTATTTATCGTGTAAGCTTTCTCGCTTTGCCTTGGCTTGAAGCCGTTCGCTAACGATGATAAAAATCTTGTATTATTATCTTTATTTTCTGTTGCTGTTTGCCATCTTTGATTTCCTACATCTGATTGGCGATGGCGAGTGGTTGAGTGGCTTCACTCGTCTGTAGTGATTCAATGTCGGTCCCTAGAAGTACACATTACAACACTAGATGATGATTGGGGAAGGGGTGGTGCTATACACAAATGAATGAATCAGTAAGAGAAATGGGCTCTAGAATTACATTGACGGTATTTAACCTAACAGACAGCAGCATCATCGTACAAACCGGAACACATTCATCATCATCATTATCATAAACGATTGGACGCGTTGACGGACCACAAAAGCACTCATCCTACGGCTACAGCCGGCTGTCTTGGTTTTCTACATGCACTCTATTCTTTTACTGGTATAAACGATTGCCACTTGCTCCCTAAGTAAGTCTTTCGTCGATTGAAGATTGAAGGATCTGATTGATGAGTGTGATTCGAAGAAGAACCGATGTTTGTTACAGTTTGCTTGAAAAGTAAGGTGAAGTAAGACGGTTGAACATTTTAGCCTGATGAACGATCAATAAGGTTCTTTGGGGCTATTTCGTAATCTACATTGGAGCCACTATCCAAAATTTCATAAATTTTCGTGCACTGGAACTTTTTTGAAAAACTGTGCTTGAATGGGTAAACATTGCCACCCAAGAGCCTTTCATTGGCCCGGACTGTCAATTTTTTAGTTATGTGTCCAAATACGAAATAGTCTAAGTTTCTTAAATCTCGATTCATTAATCACGTGTAAGGAGTAATGTCATATTTATTATGCTGATGTCATCAGCATCAACATCGAAGTTTTTAGAAATTTACATTAAGATAGACAGTAATAAAACTTAGATAGACAATTTGGAGGAACGTATAAACAATTTTAAGTTCTTTTTTAACAAATGCGTTGCCTGTTTTCTAAAGTATCACCGTTCGCAGCATAAAAAAAATTAAATGTTCGAAAATCCCTCTGTTGATGATCGTTTGATTTTCGAGAAGGTGTTGGTCAAAATTTATTCCTGGTCTGTCTGTTATAAGTCTGGTACAATAGCAGGTTTATTTGAAAATTTTCCATCTGTCAAATTTAAATGAAAATTCATGAAATGATACACAGCCTAAGTTCTTTTTAAATGACTGCGTTGCCAGTTTTCTAAAGTATCATCGTTCGCAGCATTTCACATTCTGTAACTTAAATGTCCATTATGAACACACTCATTCACCATTCCTTCGCCCTTCAACTTGTTTAGCTTAAACTACTACACAGTATACATATTAAAATAAATACAATATCCATGTGTCAACATTTCGAAGGTGCAGTGAGATTTGCTTTCCCCTCCAAGTTGTAATGGAAAAAGCGCATAATTGCAATCAGTCTCTGCAGAAAAGAGACTGATGAATCGTCTCCCTCTCACCTTTTACTCTGTGGCACATATTCTAGCGGCCTGGTTTGGTTCCTGTTAAAAAAAAATACGATCTAATTAAAAAAAAACCTAATTTACGTTGGCTATTTTCGACGGGTTTTGACTTAAGTTAACTCCCTTCCTCTCTCTCTCGTTCTCTCTCACTCGCGCTATCTAATACAAATGGTGCGATTCCTTAAACTGGGTGTATGTGTGGTGTGGCTTTGGCTGTTCGGATTGCTTGCTCAAGATGGGTTATGTCCCGATCCCTGGTCCTCCTGGTCACGCCGATTCGTTGCTACTGCTACCGCTGATGGTGCTGCTGAATCTAGCCTGATATGGCGGTCGGGTGAAGGTTTTCTGTCGGACGTACTTTCGGTGCTTCAGCTTGACGGGACTTAGCGATGTTCGGTGCAGTTTCGATTTGTGTTCCACCAGATCGTTCACTGGGAAGAAGGAATTGGAATCGGAAAAGAAAACAAAAAAAAGGAAAAAACGACGGCGGGTGCAGCGCCAGTGCGATGAGGAAAAAGAAGAAAAGTGACGAAATAGAAAAGAGAGTAATTAAAATTGATGATTCGGTTTGAATTAACTGAATGGAGCAAAATAGGCAAGGGCAGCGCTTTGGTGGTATAATTTGGGTTAGTTCTTGGAAAGTATAGATCGAAGAAGGCAATAGAGCATTTTCGACAACGTGATTGTTATTGTCTGTATTTGTACATGTGTTATGAAAGAATGAGTTGCAATCGTAGTTTTGCTTGGCAAAAGAAAGGATATTTTCAAAGTTTTTGAAAGTTTTCTATGATTAGTATAAATGAAGGCTGCAATCTTAAAATAAAATTTATATGGAACCTCTGAGCTCGGATAGGGTAGGGTTTAAATCTAATTTTGGGTCTACTAAACACAACTCTACACCGCTCTTTTACGAGTGGATTTTTTTTTTCACAAAATGAACTACAGATGACTACTAAATTTATTCACCATTTCATGTGTACCGATAGATTGGATAAATAGTTATAAATGGTTTACAGCTGTGTTCGATAAAATAGCAGTGCATGCCGATTTTCATATAAAATGGTCAACTTTGACTTGATGTAACTTTGTTAACTTATGATCAATTGAGCTGAAACGTTCGACAAAGAACTACAAATATGTTTATTTTTACGATTACAAGATATTATATTTTTGGAAGCACCTGCCGGAAAGTGACCAGGTAAAATTGTTCAAAATAAAAGCAGTTTTTATTTGAAAATTTACGTGCTGTAAATATTTTAAACATTTTTAACTATTATGTACCTTTGTTAATTGGGAGGGAATTGTTAGAATTTTGAGAAATATAAAATTTAAAATCTCAAAATCAAGCTGCAATGAAAATTATTAGTACTGCAATTATTTTGAACAATTTTACCTGGTGTCACACTTTCCGGCAGGTGCTTCCAAAAATTTAATATTTTGTAATCGTAAAATTGACAATATTTGTAGTTCTTTGATAAACGTTTCAGCTCGATTGATCATAAGTTATCAAAGTTACATCATGTCAAAGTTGACCATTTTGTATGAAAATCGGCATGCGCTGCTATTTTATCGAACACAGCTGTATATTAGACTGATGCAAAATTTGAAATTTTCGCACCACAGTGCTTAAACGGTTCCAAATTGGGTCCTGCTTAGCCTCCCAAAATTTGAACTACTTTAGTAAGAAACTGACTTGGCACAAACTATTTCAAGTGTATATGGTAATTACTATGAGAAAACATATTTTTTTCATATCTTTCTAACAATTCACCACATCACTATGCTTTTAAAAATGATAAAAGTGATTGTAGACAATTTTCTCAGCTACAACTTTGTTCAAAACTACTTTTCAATCAAATGTAAGGAACAAAAGTTATTAATGATTCAAGTCACGGATGTCTTATGATTATGCTCATTCAACTGTTCAGCAGGCAGCATTGGTGTTTCTGGTGCGAAGAATAGAGCACAAATATCATGGCTACTATGTAACACTGCAGAATCCAGTGTTGCCCACAAAACAGCTGCTTGATCATGTCATAAGATTATCAATCTTCAGCAAAGTTGTAGCTTAGAAAATTTACTGTAAGAATAATTAAAAAAAATTTGAAAAAGCAATATGGAAAATGGGTAGAAGACAATGAACAAAAAGTTTGGTTTTCCAATAGTAATTTCCATATAAACTTCGAATAGTTTGTGCCAAGTCAGTTTCTTACCAAATGAGTTTAAATTTTGGGAGGCTAATCAGGACCTGATTTGAAACCGTTTGAGCACTGTGGAGCAAAAATTTAAAATTTTGCATCGGTCTACTGAACGGTCTAAGAAAACAACACTGCGTTTTGACTGAAAACTCGGCATACGGATTTCAATTTAGTTCAAATACATAGAAACGTCATTGGATTTACTTCGTCATACGAATGATGGCAAAAAAGGAATGGGATAATGGATTCGCTAGGAGTACTTTTTTGTTTTTGAAAATAAATGGTGTAAATATGCACAATTTCCGCTCTAAAGGCTTTCCCGATTAAAGTTTTTGGTGTTATGCCGCTTTTGAAGAACTTTGTTTAGGTTTGAGGAGTGCTTTAACACCACTATAAAACTTGTTAACACTGCTGGCTAAAATCAAGATCAGACAATCAAAATCAGTTATCTTTCATGAACAATATCACCTAAAGTTACAGTCATCAATATCACAAGCCATCATCATCACGAAAATCATCCGTGATTTCGACCAATATCAGCTGTTTTCGATTCTCAAAATCAACCAGCATCAATATCAACCAAGATCAAAATCACCGAAAATTATAGGATTAGAAGATAAGTTAAATTCTAGAGTTTGGGACATACCGAAATTACAGTCAACATTCCGGATGAAATTAAAATGGTGGATTTCAACTCAAGATGGCTTCCACAAATCCAAGATGGCGGACCAACATCCAATATGGCGTCCTCTGGACTGCACAAATGCATCTAAACCCGGAATGAGATTGATGAGTAGAAGCAGAAAATCAACATCCGCCGCCAATTTGGAATTCAAGATGGAAGAACCAAAATCAAATATGGCGGCCTCCAGATAGCGAATATGCATCTGTGCATGTATGGAAGGGAATTGATGAGTAGAAGCGGAAAATCAACATCCGCCGCCATTTTGGAATTCGCTGTTTAGAGACCGCTCTATTGGATTTTGGTCTGCCATCTTGAATTCCAAAATGGCGGAGGATGTCAATTTTCCACTTCTACTCTACGAGTCCATTCCATAGATACTAGTCCTATGCGCCGCCACGCCGCGCCGCCACGCCGCGCCACCACCACCGGCACTTTTTCAGAAGTCGCCGCCGCCGACGATTTTCAGTCGGCGCGCCGCCGTGATGATTTTTGATACGCTGCCGTTATAATTTTGGATGCTCCGTCAATGTAATATTTTTTATACATTTAGCAGATGGAATGGAGAACAGCGAAATGGAACGGTGCAAAAGAACACAGAATCAAAACAAAACAGCAAATAAGGCTATCCGAAACTCCCTTTTCTGATTGTCATAGGATTACTAGAACTTCAAATTAAAAATGATCTCCTATAATATGCAAGAAGTCTCGCGCAACACGAGAAAATGGCCTATCATTGTTGATCGATTCCCTTATTTTTAAGGTTTGCATACCCGTACCCAACCGATCCTGTTGAGGTGAGGGTCAGGTTTCGGGAAAAAATGTCCTTACCTGATCATCTTTTCTAAATAGGATTTTTAATCCGGGATGATTTTAATTACAGAAAAAAAAACATCTCAGGAAATAGTTCCGCTACTATTCCGAAATGTTTTCATGGTGTTTTCGGTAACAAATTCAAAGTTGAGTTATCTGAAACAAGTCACACATACAGTAATACAATATTTTGGTTTAAATTCAACTTTGAAATGTGACATTTTGACAGCCACCATAGTGGTACGCCGATGGACGCCGCCGCCGTAGCCGCCGCCGATCAAAGTCAACGGCGTCACGCCACCACGCAGCCGCCGAGGCAAAAACGGATCTCACGCTGCCGCCCCCCGATGAAAGGACCGGTGCACATGTCTAATAGATACCCATATTGCATGAGTTGCATTTTGCTGTAAATCAAACTAATCCAAATTAGTTACAAGCAACACCACCAAATTATTTACCCTGCACCGGAAATCGGGAATCAAACTCGAGACGACCGTATTGGCAATCCTTGACTGCTGATTACAGGTTGTTTAGTTGTTGAAAAAACACTTTTGAAGTTTTTTATTATTCAGCAAGAGTGGTTGGTTGTATAGAAGCCATCAAATGAGTAACACATTCACATTGTTAGCTTTGTTTTGCAGCTACAAGTTGAAAGTTGATTTGGATGTGTATAAAAGTGACATTAGCGTTTATTGGCTGTTGTTATTCAGTGAGATTGCCAAATTGAATAATGGTTGTGAAAAATTTAAGTAACCGCTCTACAAAACAATTTTGCTAGCTTCTGCTTGTAGCGGTATCTGCAGCTTTTTTCAGCTACTTTACAGCGCAACGCTGCAAATGTTGGCTTACAAAGCAGAAAATGTTAGTTGGAGTATTGAATTGTTAATCCTGAAATCAAAGCTAAATTTGATGTTATTTGTTCGATAGGCCTAAAATGGATTGTGCTTAAGTAAATTTTTTCTAGGGTTGTAGGCTCAGTGGTACCGATACTGTTTGTATTGGTAATACCGGTTGGTTTTCTGGTACCGAAATACCGCTACTGTCATGTGAAAATACCGGTTTTTAATTTTAGCTAATTTAAAATTTTGATGTGAAATACATTTAAAATATTTTAGCAGTATTGATTTTTAAATATTTTATAAAACTTCATGAACCAACTAGCTGCTCAGCACAGAAGTGAAAGTGCATAAATAATAGGCAAATCAAAAAGTGAAACAGTAAGCGATGTGCTCGACAGTAATTTTCCATACGCACTCAGACCAACTGCCAATAAAAAAAACTGCAAGTTACAGACAAAAGCGTCATATCTTGGGGTTACTCTTGGTTACTCCATGAGTAGCCAGCTCCGTAAACCGATTTTTTTCTCGACGTAAACTATGTCTTACTGGAAGGTACAGGGGGTAAATCTAATATCTAAAATTGCGACCGTCACGAACAGGTGTTAGGTTTTGATCGCCTATAAGTTTGTCATTTATAGATGAAATTTAAATCCCAATCCACAAATCGATAGGAAATAACTCTACAAATCTGCTGAAATAAATACTTTCCAAAATAAAAATAAAGCTTTTGAAAAATTAGCAAATAACAGGAAATAATTTTATCACTGTATTCAAGAAAAAATGTTATCCCTAACCCAGTCGTCATAATCGAGTTCCACTTGGTTACGCATTATTCTGCTTGAACCTGTAAAGTTATAAAACAGCGCTACTATCAGGCTTCCGCTCATTTTCGCATCGGACTTCGCGGTGAGCGGATCTCTAAAAGTGCCAGAAGCAAGCACGCCAGCGGTAAGACGTGAACTTTTCGCCTCTCTCTACCGTCGAGCAGAAAAACTTCCTCGATGTGAATGGCGTGATGAGTTGATCACCTTAACAACCAGCGGCGGGGAGATGCAAGGAGATTCACCTCTGTAACGAGCTGTTTTTGCATTAAGCTCAATTCGCACCTACCCTATAGTATAGGATCCAATTGGCGATTTTCTAAATAATCGGCTTCATGCAATACTGTCACAAGTCGAAAATTTTCATTTCTGAGATTTTGAAGGCAAATGACGGAAAAAAGTGTGAACAAAAACCTATTTTGAAATTAATGCAAAATCGAAAGTTATAGGTAGATATGCCTTTGCTACTTTGTGAGTTGTGAACTAACAAAAATGTGGAAAATTTAATGAAGTTCTATTGATCTCAGAAAAGCTAGATCTAGAGATCTTTGGGGAATTCCGGAGATCTTAAGGGGAAGTCCCCGAAACTTTAGCCCAGACTATTGAATTGGTTCAAAAATCTATAAGCGTGAGTTCAGACAAATTCAGGATAGTTCCATGATGTGCTGAAATAAAATCGAGAACCCATAAGATTTTCCCAAAGATTCAGTACAGATACCTTCAAAAAATTAATGAAAACTTCAGAAATATCAGGAACTTCACAGAAATCCAGAGCATTACAGGGAAGTTTAAAGGTGTTTACAAGAATTCCATTTAATTTAAAGCAGAACCGAGATCTTCATTAGAGTTGAGAGTTTTAGGTAAAGCTCCGAGAACATCAAGACAGATAAGAGAATTAAAGAACAGTTCAAAAAAAAAAATTCAAGGAAATTGCAGAAACCGGAATTTTCGGAAACTTCGGTTTGCTCAGCGAAAATTTATGGAACGCATTAAAAATTATATGAACATCCGGAAAATGTGAGAGTATTTCAAGGGTGCTATATCATGGATATTTCAAGATCTAAAAAAATAGTAAATTTAGCTAAGTTGAGAGAACATCAATGAAGTTCCATTAATAAAAAAGGCGAGAACTTTTAGCAAGCACCGATATTTTCAAGAAATATCAGAGAACTTCTAAGAAATTTAGAAATTTTTAGATTGTTTCATTATATACAGTGAAGTTCCTTAGAATTATTGAATATACCAAGAATTCAATGATTGATCCGAAAACTTTAGAAGCCTCAGGGAATTATAAATATGTATCAGAAAATTTACTGGAACATTTGATCAATTTACAGAAATTAAGGTAAGCATAGAAAACTTCTGGGATGTCCAGGCTTTCCAGGGAAAATTAGTGTTTTAAGGCAAAGTTACGTGAACGTTTATAAACTTTACAAAACTTAAAGAAAATTGTAGAAGTTAATGGCAATTAAATCAATTCCAGTAAAATGGTGGGTTGATTAAAAAAAAATACTAAGATATTCATGGCAGTCTGGAGAATTTTAAGGAAATTGAGAAATATTTTGGGCAGTTTTAAAAACATCAGGAAACTCTAGACTATTGAAGAAGTTATGAACTAGTTTCGATAATTTGAACTTCAGACAAATCTTAAGAACTTCAGTGAAAATCATATAACTATATTAATTATTTCGCTGCGGAAGCTTAAAGAAGTTTCTGAATTTTCAGAATAACTTCGAAAACTTCACAGAAGTGCAGAGATCTTCAGAAACATTTTGAGAACTTCATAAATGTCCATGGAACTTAAGGGATCTTCCGAGAACTTCAGAAACTCTTATGGAAATTTCGGCCCCCTCCCTCAAATAAGTTTGGTTAAGCTCCAAAAACAAAGGGAATTTCAGGGGAGTTCAGTTCCATTAGTTTCACTAAATTAGCGGGAAAATTGAAGAAGTTCCCAGATTTTCAACGAACTTTAGAGATGTTGAGTAAATTATTGAGGTTTTCACATTAGTCCAGAAGTTCATGCAAGCTTAAACATTTTTAGAACAGTTCAATTAAATTCATGGTAGTACAGCAAGCTTCATGAGAACTGCAAACAATTTAGAGAAGTTTCGAGAACTTCGAGAAAGACATCGATCTCGCTAATAAAGCTCTAAAAAAAAAACAAAACTTCAAGAAAGAACATATATTCTCAGCGCAGATATATTCCAGAGCTGGGAAATTACATAAATTTTAAAAAAGTTGCGAGAAATTCAGTGATTTGTTAATACTTTAGAGAAGATTCATGATCGATAGGAAAATTGTGGAGTCTTTAGGAAGTCCGAAAAAGTTTAGAGAAGTTAAAAATATGATATAGTTTATCAAACTACAAAAGAACTACAAGGCAGTTTAATTAACTTCAGGAATATTTTGGGAACTTTCAAGTAGTTCTGAAGACCTCAGAATAGTCCATTCCGGAGATTTCTCATGAAAGTTTACGTGGAGTTTACTATCTTAGGCATGAAGTCTAAAATTCCTCAGAACTGTTAAACAGAGTGCAGTTGATGTTTTTCTCATAGATTTTTTTTCCCAGAACTCTCGTGAAATGAGGTCCTTGGAAATTATGATAAATTCCATGAGCTTTAATACTGTGCAAGGAATTTGACTTCAGATTCTTGAAAATTTCTTGAAGTAACTTTTCAGTTCAGAATTTATAAAATTTGTGGGAAATATGCATATTCTTGAACAAAAAAAAAATCATGTGATGGCTCTGTCAAAAATGTATTTGTTACTGAAGATTAATCCATTCTGGTTTATAGATCCTGGAGATCAATGTGTGAATGAAAATAATTAGGAATATCAAATTCTTACTAAGAAATTTTTTAAATTCCCTGAGACTTTCAGGTATTTTCAGGTCAAATAAAATTCCATGGGAATTCCCGGGTTTTCAGGTGTTTTTAGGCAGTAGAGGCTTGGTGGTTTAGTCATAAGCTTTCTATTGAATCGATCGCTTTAAAGGTTTCTATCGTACATATTTAAGTGTTCATGAGAATCAAATTGAATAAGTCTAAAACATCAAATTTTTATTTGGTATGTCATCAGAACGACTACTTTTTTTTCCCTTTGACCACTTTTTAGTCACTTTTTTACAACTATAAGTCACTATTTGTACACATATTTCTTCAACATGGTCACTTAAATAACTATTTTTGACAGCATTGATCGCTACCAGCCCTGAATCTTAGAATTTAAATTTGACCAACGATCAAATATGAAAAATTATAGATGGATTGAAATTATCTCATGCATTCCTAAAATCTTTTAAGCAATTGGTAATCAGAAAATATTCAACCAGGTTAAACATCGCATCTCAATTATCAACATGTTTTTTTTAAGTCATCTTCTAATGTACTGAAATTTGAAAATTCATCTACTAATGTTTTGGAACTTGTCAAATTTTCTTTAAGAGAAATGAATAAAAGCAATTCCGTTGAAATATGCTGGGTTCCGAAAACTCTTCTAGCTCCGGATGTACTGAGAATGCTGAGATATCCATAATCACCCGGAACTCTAAGAAGTCTCGATACTCCCGGATCTTCTAGAACTTCGAGTAATAAGTATTGAGATTCCTAGAACTTCGGGCGCATTGAAACTAATATCTCCTGAAACAGTGTGCTACTCCAGGAACAAGAAACGTGTACTTTGTGAGGTTTTGAAACTCCCAGGGATCTTCAAAAATTATCGAATTATTAGCATTCTAGTGTTCCCGCAAAAAGACTTTTTACGGTAAAGAATCGCTTGGAGCTTATAGATCTGAATACTCCCAAAGTGCTTGCATTTCTGGTACTTAAAACAGTCTCCAGGATTTATTTTCCATTGTTATTCTATTCACTTTAACACATTTTATGATATTCATGGCTTTTCCCGGGGTGAGAGGCATATATGCTCACCACTACGCCTGGCTCGTAACCCAGCTCAAAGAATTTCTAAGATTTTTCAAGGCTGTATCGGTGTTCCGGAAGAATTTCAAAAGCTCTCGTAGTTCGGACTATTTCTAAACTTTCTGATGTTTCGAAGTTTTTACATTTACAGAGTTTACATTTCTGGAGCCCTTGAAGATTCAAGGTTTGCTGAATTATCATGAGCTCCGAGTGTGTTAAGTTGCATGTAAACTACCACCTACCACATTTCCGAACAGCGTACCATAGATTGTAATCTATGAATGTGTTTAATATCCACTTATTTAAACAATTTCAAGATGTTTCTTTTGCACAACTCCAGTTTCAGGAACTTTAGTTTTGAAAGTTCCGAAACCTTAGGGAGGATCTGAAATTGAAATAATTTCTTAGAGTTTCTTTCCCAATCAACTTCCGCAAGTTGTCAGCGTCTATCTTTCCCAATTATTAAGATGCCATTGTTTAAATAAGGACAACATTGAATTTATTGTAACCAGTAAGCATCAACCATACTAATTCACATTCTTCTTCCCTTTCAGGTAAGTTCCGATGTATGTGTTAGTAAGTACAATCTAATAGAATTGATAACTACAGTAAGAGTCACTTAATGTGGATTCAGCTTCACGGAGTATTTGTTCATATATACAATGTTTTTACAGCCAATACAATATGTACAATTCCCTTCAGGTAAATTACTTCAAGGGAGTTTTTTCAAACTGGATGTGGATGATCAAAATTGATTACCTTGTGTTCTGTGTGTAACGAAAGTTTAAAGTCATATTTTCCAAGAACTACAAAAGAGTATTCTCATTTTCATCCCCTCCACCACCACCATAAATACCTGATTCCGGTGAAACATCCACGGTCGATCCTGTACTACTACCACTTCTTCTACTGCTGCTGGTGCTGCCGCTCCTCTGGTAGAACGGCGTTGGCCGAATGGAGAACCTCGGTGACGACACCGTTTCCTGGTTGATGATGGCCGTCCACGGTTGTGGCGTCACCACGTACACCTTCTCCTTGGTGTGCGGTGAAATGGCAATCTTGACGTTGCGCCAACTGTCCCGCCCCTTGACGCGATCCCTCAGCAAGGGCAGCATGGTGGTTGTAAGAAACTCCCACGGAATGGCTTTGGTGACCCTGTGCAGCGGAATGGTGCTGGATTTGAACAGGTAATCATCGCTGGCATACTGCTGCTCCGTCCAGGTATCGATTCGTCGCTGCAGGAGAAGTGGATCGATGTCCCACTCGTTGCGTTCGTAGATGGGGATGGGAGTCGTTTCTGGCCGTTCGGTTGAAGTAGTGGTCGTGGTGGGTACCGTTGTCCGTCGGTAGACAATGGGTGGATGCGGTCGGGATATGAGTTCTTGTTCCTCGCGGGATTTTGGAGGGTTTTTGACGATTTTGGTTGTCCGGAGAAGCTGAGAGATGGTGGTTCGATGGGAAAACATGTGGCTGGTGGGTATCGGTCGCATTCGGGTGATGTTGATGTAATGCGGAGCGAACCTGGATGGATGGGCCATGATGATTGTTGGGTGGAAGGTTCGAGGCGGGGCGGTTGTAGTGCGTTCTAAGCGATGTTCAGCTGTCAGTCCGGATAGGTTGAATATTGGGGGCATCGGGGTCATCTTGGGAACGCGAGGTGGGGTGAATGGTTTGGAGTCTTTGGAGACCTTTACGGGTTCGACCTTCTTGAGCTTGGTTGGCTTCTCCGGGATGGTCGTTGGAGGACGGGAGAATGGACGGGTGGTTTCCTTGCGAAGGATGTCCTTGATGTTGGAGGTGGAGTGGAAGAATTTCATGGATTCCCGTGTGACGAAGCGGGACTTGAGAGGTGATAGTGTCGTGGAAGATCCAGAGGTAGCGGTCACAATTTTGGACTCTTCCGGTGAGTGGTCTATTTCGTCACGGTCTTTGTGTTTGAATGGTTCCGGCTTCTTGTAGGTGCTGTATGGGATGATGATCTGGATTTGCTTGGGTTTTTTGGTGGCTGCTGTATTGATGTGGCCACCGATGGCAGCCGTCATGGAGGAGTGATGCAGCAATGTAGTCGGTTTGACGGTGGTAACCGTGTGTGGAGGTGAGGTTGTAATTTCTGTACTGGGAGCTTCGGTGGTCGTGTAGCGTTGGAAGATTGTCGGACGGTTTGCTGCGACTTTGAGTGTGGTCAGGAAAGTGGAAATCGGTCTTGTAGGTGGGGCATGTGTTGAAACCGTGACGGGGCCGGTCTCTCTAGCCACCGAATCCTCAGGGTCCTCTTCAGTTAGCAGATTGTTGAACAAGCTCACCGGAGGGTGTGAGTGCGGGTGGTCTAAGTCGGAATCGGTAAGTTGCCTTTGGAACTGTTTATTGACAGGTGAACTGGAATGGAGGTTGGCAGAGTAGATAATTTGAAGACCGTTTCCTAGTTCCTCTGGATCTGTTGGTGGAGGTAGTGAAGATGGGAACGTAGTAGGTCTTTCAGTGGTAGTCGTTCTTGAGGAATAGTAACGGGTTTTCGGCACGACACTAGTTACCTCCACCGGGAAGGTGACCGTCACTCCACTGATCTGATCGTCGTCTTCTTCGGACGAGTAATCTTCGTCCTCGGCTGTTAGTTGGTTAGTGCCGGTGATGGTTACGTTACGGTGCTCGGAAGCTGCTGGTCTGGAGTCTTCGTTGGAGTATGCCACTGTAGTGTAGACTTGGGATGACGATGAAGCAACCTGTTCAACATCGAAAATTGAGTGATTTGGTCTGTTACCAGGGAAGGGTGGTCTATTGTAGCGTATGTAGCTATTGGACATGGATTGCAGTGATTGTGGGTAACCGATGCCCAGCTCTACGATGTCTCGTGGTTTGTACGGTCGATAGAATTTGTACGGGTCTGCGTGGAAAGAGGTCGCCGTATAGAGTGGTGGAACTGGAGAGGCACTCAAGTTCGGTAGCGAGATTGAAGCGTGTGGTTTGTCTTCGTTCTGAATCGGTAGGATCTTGGCTGGAGGGTGGTAGTCTGTGTTGGTGAAGTACGTTGCGGCGACTTGTCGGAAGGTTATTGGAGCTGCTGCCGGTGAGTCGGGTTTTCGGGTCACAAAGTGAGCAATTGTCGGAGCTGCCGGTTGGATTGTGGGCGTCGTTGTCGACGGCAGATATGACGGTTCTGCTGGGGTACTAACCTTGAGTTGTTGCAGCTGTTGCTGAAGTTGCTGCTGCTGAAACTGTAGCTGCTGCAGCTGTAGATTTTGCAGTTGCTGCTGCTGATGTTGTAGTTGCAGTTGGATCAAATGCTGCGGTGGAGGAGCAGCTGTGATGATTGCTGGTTCGTGATTTTGTATGGCAGGAGGATAAGGGGATACCGAATGGACATGACCCTTGGGTCTTATTTCGAGCTTGATTGGGGTCTGGGAAGGTGGAGTGATAGCATTCGGGGGCACTTGAGTTACGGGGAGATGTTCTGGCGGGGGTGCCAACGGAACCCATGGCACGTTATTACACGGATGGTAGTCAAATTCTTCCAAGGGACCTGCATTCTGCACTCCGGGAACAAGAGCAATTCCTGGGCCTACCGTCGTTGGTTCAGGATCACGGAATTGCAGGTTTTGATGATAGGCTTGTGAAGGTCTAAGGATTCTGGGGTCCTGCTGGGAACCAACTATCTTCTGCTGTAAGGTCGATGGAACGAACGGTTGCTGCGGTTGTTGCGGGGCTTGAGGTGGTGGCTGATACTGATAGCCGGGTCCTTGGATATTACTAGTTGGTGAGAGAGCGTTTGCTACTGGATGGTAGTTGCTCCCACTCGTCTGGTAGTTATGATTCTGATGGATAATCGGTTGAAAACCTCCGTTTTGCTGTTGGTTGTTGAAGTTGGGTGTACCATAGTTTGTATTCACCACGCCGATCCTACTCCCATTTCTGATAGGGTCTATCTGCTGTGGTTGTGGAAACTGAACAGGCTGCTGATTTAGCTGAGGTTGAAGTTGTTGCTGGGGTTGAAGCTGTTGCTGGGGTTGAAACTGTTGCTGGGGTTGAAACTGTTGCTGAGGTTGAAACTGTTGTGGCTGTAGCTGAGGAGGTGGGGGAGGTGGAGGATTCGGGGACAGGGACTGCCGCTGGGGTGGAGCTAGAGGCTGTGCAGGTCGCCTGTCGCCACTGTCATCCCCAAAGAAATTGAACCAGCTTGAGATTCGTTGAAAAAACGATGGTGCTGCTGTCGTTGGGGGTACAGGAGCTCGATACCTGTAAGGCGGCTGTTGAGGTTGTTGCTGCTGTTGTTGAGGCTGTTGCTGTTGCTGCTGCAGTGGCTGTTGTGGTTGCTGCTGTTGAGGCCCATAATACTGGTTGTTGTTATTATTAACCTGATTGTTCACATTGTTATTGTTGAAATTTCCCTGTGGTTGCAGTTGGTTTGGCTGCTGCTGATATTGCGGCTCTGAGCTAATTAAACTTGCATCATTCAGTACCATCAGCAGCAGGAATATTCGCCAGACATTCTGAAAAAAGAGAACAAAGAGAAAGATATGCAATTAGAACTGATTGTACTCGATGGGCTCATGAGCTGATTGGGAGTGAAAACCACCCACCACACACCGCACGCGGGCCTACATCAAACAATCTGATTATTCCGCACCAGCATCGACATTAGCGATGCAAGCTGAAGCACGTGCTCTTCCTTTAACAATATACATTCATATGGAAAATTGTGAAAGAGAAAACATAATAATAAGTGGGAGGATGCTTTCATATTCCAATAAACCGAATGCTCGTATCCCGGCACAACTCTAGCGCTCGTTGCTGCAAGCGAAAAAGGCTTTTAAAGTAATAACAATAATGATCGATAAATTTCCTGAATCATCAATTTGCTCGACTATTTGTATACTCCGATCTGGGTATGTGTGCATCTACCTATGTATCATTTTTTTACTTTTCTTCGTCCCAATTATGCAATGCCGGTACCGAAATGAGGCGAAACAACCGGCAAAAAAAATCCTAGATTTCTGTGCCCATCATCTGCAGTGTGGGGTTTGTCCGAGATTCAGTTACCACATTCGATTTTCTGGGTATTGGGTAATCTCGGAAGTGGACCAAAGGCGCGAAGAGCGGAACAATAACAAATTGCGAGAGAAACAAATTGTGATAAATTGATAAGTGTGAAGCTAATTGCGATGATTTGCGTCGGACCTCGTCCGTTTCAAATTATAAGCAAATTTACAACTGTTGCCGCATAGCTTGATGGTTGATTTTCTGGCATGTTGTTCATTATATTCATAACGCGGTGTGAATGTGATTCAAGAAGACCACCCGGCCAAGCCAGTAAAAACGTAAATGTAAACGTTACACTTTAGAGACGTGAGGATCGACTCCCGATTTACTGTCAAGGTTTATTATGCGGCTCGGCATTTTTTCGACTACGTACTATTGGCTTAGTCAGAGGAGGACATGGAGCACTGCCCCGTCCCTAACTCAGCAACAAAATTCATATTTTCTAAGTTTCAAATTTAATTTGTTGCAGAGGTATAAAAATTTTAATGTTTTTTAAAATTAAATGAACGTTATTGGGCTGCTATGGCCATAAGCGCTAAATATCGGATAGTGAAGATTGATCTAAGATATTTGTTTTGAATCCAGTAATGAGTTTCAGGAAATGCATTTGGATATCGCCGACATCAAATAAATGAAATCTTCATGATTTTAGGACTTATTGAAATTTTCAAGAGTTTAAGACTTATATTGTGTTGGAGTGTTTGACTGTGAGGTTTTACAATAATCAGTTTCGGCTTGGCAGTCTGGCAATCACTCAATCAGAACAAATTTACAAAAATAATTTGTTCTGATTGAGTGATTGCCAGACTGCCAAGCCGAAACTGATTATTGTTTAAGACTTATGTAGATTGTATCCAACCTTCGGGAAATTTTCTCGTCAACGGGACTTACAGAAATATTCAAACCAGTAACGCTGGTAGATCACCTTTTCGTGGTGCGTTACTTATAAGATCTATGTACCTCTGTACTCTAGTCCTGACAACTTCAAACAAGGGGAACAGAATTTTTCAGTAATCAAAAGAGCACATTTCAGTCTTTGCTTCTTTTTATGCCTTGTTAATAGTGACAAGACTCGGAGAAGTGGTCGCAAGGCCTATTGAATATGGGCGGAACAAATCGAAATAATTATTATTGATTGCTTCCGAGAACGTAATTTCATTTGATGGCTTGTTTAACCAGGGCTTGAACAATCGTCACGTTGGTCATAGTTTGTTATGATAGCCTGAACAATGTGTAGAAAGCAAATCGAAACATTGAACGTCACGTGATAATGGAACTTAATGAAGACTTAAGTGCTTTTTCGTAGCTTTTAGTTATCGGATTTGAAGGATCGTCGGTTGTAGTGCACAGTGATCCAGAATGCAGAGTTAGCTGGAAGGATAAGTTTTGAGTCTGAAATTGAAACATTTGACAAAAAGTGTATTCTAAAAAGTTGTTCCTTATAGTTAGGCCCTTATTTTTATGACAATGAATTCTAGGGTGGTTCTTATTATCAATGAAATCAAAAATTTAACTTTTTTATGCAAAGGAATAAATCTATATATTCTGCACAGAATTTGTCGATATCTTTCGCCGATCCAGCCTTTTCAAATGTTCATATCTCTGGTTGGGGAAAAAAAAGAGTTTTTGAGGCATTTGAAAGGGTGTATGTTATTCTCAAGAATATGAAAAAAAATTAGAGGTACGTTATTTTTTAAACTCAGATAAAATCAATTTGAATGTATTATTTTTTTACATGTTTTTTTTTATCAGAAGAGATACAAACAATAAATTTTCCTATAAAACGTGCGCCTTAAAGAGCTTTAAAAGTCTCTTCAAAAGATTTAAAAGTAATTTGAAGACATCTTTGCTGAGAAATTTGAAATAAGAAAACTATAGCAAAACAACTTCAAGAAAATAGCACTAAATCGAGATATAAAAAAGTTCTTTTCACAAAGTTGCTTGAAATTAACTCAGCTATATCTTTGCCAAAAAATATACCTTAACAAAACCTTCAAACAAAAAAAATAATAGATTTTTGATTTCAATCATAATAAGAACCACCCTAAAATTCATTGTCTTAAAAATAAGGTTATAACTATTAGGAACAACTTTGTAGAAGAGACTTTCAGTTTAAAGTTTCAAGCTCAAAATTTATGCTTCCACCTAAATCTGCATTCTGGTCCACTGTGCAGTGGCTTGTTTTCTGAGCAGAAAAACGCGGTCCCAGGTCCATTCATATTAAAGATATTTATGGTCAAATCGCTTGTATATCGTGTATTTTGCGAAACTTGTCGTCGTCGTCGGTGCCGGGTTTGAATGGTTATGAGGGTCTCGGTGGCCTTAGAGCGACCGTTTTTGCATACTGAGCAGAACACCACGAGTCTAATCGTAAGCCCATCCACATTCAAAATTTGTCAATCGTTGTATTTGTTAATACGAGTACATGGTAGTACTGAAAAATCTCGACAATACACGACGATATTCAAAACTCTGCTTTGGTCACTCATTTGAGCTAACAGTCATCGTCAAGGCAAACCCCGTCAATTGTCAGTGAAAATGCTGTCAGTGAAACTGTACATGGAAATCTTTAACAATTCTTATTTGTAACGTTTACAGGATGAAATTGATGTTTTATACAATTGGTGCGTTAAACACCTGCTAGATATTAATGTAGACAAATGCAATATTATATCTTATTCCAGGAAACACACTACTCTAGATTTTAAATTTACTTTAGGAAACCAGCTGGTTGTAAGGAGCGATGTAATTATGGGCTTAAGAGTAATTCTTGACTCGAAGTTGACATTTGTAGATCATGTGAATACCACAATTTACAAAGCAAATAATATGTTGGGATTCATAAAAAGATTTAGTTATCATTAGTGATGAAACGTCGCTAGAACTATTCCACAGCCGTAGACAGCATTTGAGCAAAGTCAAGCGCACACTTTTGCCTGTAGATCCGCGTACATTGTACGTGTTAGGCAAAAAAAGTGCGTTTGACTTGCACTGTCGCATTAATGTCGCATTAATAATTGCAACTTCTATTCAATTTTCATACTGCCGTACTCTAACGGAACTATCTACCTGCCCTCTTCTAAGACCATTTTCTAGCTAATAAATTATCACACTAAAGCTTCATGTTGGATAGCATTAACAACCAACTCTGAAGAAAAGATTGTAAAGTATGTGTTTGACACATAAATCCTCCAAATTTAGCTTTGACAGAGTCACAATGTGCGATTTTCTGATCGCTTCTTCGCGAAGAGCGAAGAACGAAAACTGGGTGAGATAAAGGGTGATACGGTCAAAATTTGGTCAATATCAACTTGACGTATTTCTTTCAATTTTACATTTAAAAAACCTGAACACCCCTCATTTTGAAGGTGTGTGTGTGTAGAATGTTGCTCCTATTTTGATTTTGGAATTCACTCTTCAGTTGTCAAAATGCCGTCCAAGCAAGAAGAGCAGCGTATCAAAATTTTGCTCGCGCATCGCGAAAATCCGAGCTACTCGCACGCAAAGTTGGCCAAATCGCTAAAAGTTGCCAAATCAACCGTTACAAATGTAATTAAAGTGTTTGGGGAACGTTTGTCGACAGCCAGGAAGTCTGGATAGGGGGGAAATCGAAAACCGGAAGCCGCTGAGACGACAAAGAGAGTTGCCGGTAGTTTCAAGCGAAACCCTAACCTCTCTCTCCGAGATGCCGCAAATAAGCTGGGTGTATCGTCTACAACCGTGCATCGAGCCAAAAAACGAGCCGAACTATCGACTTACAAGAAGGTAGTGACTCCAAATCGCGATGATAAACAAAATACGACGGCCAAAGCGCGATCCCGGAGGCTGTACACGACGATGCTGACGAAGTTTGACTGCGTGGTAATGGACAACGAAACCTACGTCAACGCCGACTACAAGCAGCTTCCGGGACAGGAGTTTTATACGGCAAAAGGAAGGGGAAAGGTAGCAGATGTTTTCAAGCACATGAAACTGTCAAAGTTCGCAAAGAAATATCTGGTTTGGCAAGCCATCTGTACCTGTGGCTTGAAAAGCAGCATTTTCATAGCTTCCGGGACTGTCAACCAAGAAATTTACGTGAAAGAGTGTTTGAATAAACGTCTGCTGCCTTTCCTGAAGGAACACGGTTGTTCCGTACTGTTTTGGCCGGATTTGGCATCTTGCCATTACGGTAAAAAGGCCATGGAGTGGTACGCCGCCAACAACGTGCAGGTGGTTCCCAAGGACAAGAACCCTCCCAACACGCCAGAGCTCCGCCCAATTGAGAAATACTGGGCTATTGTCAAGCGGAACCTAAAGAAGACCAAAAAAACTGCTAAGGGCGAGCAGCAGTTCAAGGCAAACTGGCTTTCTGCGGCGAAGAAGGTGGACAAGGTGGCTGTACAAAATCTGATGGCAGGGGTCAAGCGTAAGGCCCGGCAATTCGGATTTGGAAAAGCGGAAGCCTAAC